GAAAAGAGAGGGGGGAAAAGAGAGGGGAACAGTTCACAAGAATCTTTATTCTCAACTCTTATGGTTGATTCTTCTTCCATAAAGAGATACCTCCTTATTCACCTTCATGAGAAAATGTTTTCCTCTTACCTGGGCCTTTTGAGGAGATACTGGAAGACGTAAAGGGATCAGTGCTTTCAAAGGGGTCGGGCTAGATGGGAACAGATAAACATCATTATTGCTTTGCTGTGCACTTGCCTTTTCATGCACATTAAAATCTCTTGCTTTAAGACAACTTACTCCCAATTTACAACCTACAGTTTACATACAGTAGGATAAAATTAACTGATTATATGCAATTTGCATTATTAGTGCATTTGGCCATTGACAGCCTTGAACAAAAGCAAAGAGCTACAGGTGAGAAGTGCATCCCACTGGAACACAAACAAGAGTTATCAGGGCAAAATATGAACAGACACCCAGAAGTGTCCAATCTTTCAGCAACAGAGGTCAGGCATCTGTGTTAGGATTAGTTCAGAGAGTCTGTTGCTTCTTTCTAAACACTTGGTGTTTGCAGTTGCTCTTCAGTTTGACAAGTTTGCCTTGATCTAGGTACAGTCCTACACTGCAAGGCACACTAACCTCCCACTGATGAAATGGAACAGTGTCCTAACTCTTGGATGGCATCAGTCAATGGATTCCATAAGAGTGAGGGAACGATAACAAACCAAACCCATCCACACACTCCTCAAACAGGCACACACAGGTACCTCAGGACAACTTCAGAACTGTCACCACAGATTTAGCCTGGAGCAGAGGAGGCTCAGGGGAGACCTTCTCACCCTCTACAACTCCCTGCCAGGAGGTTGGAGTCAGGTGGGGGTTGGTCTCTTCTCCCAGGCAACCAGCAGCAGGACAAGAGGGCACAGACTCAAGCTCTGCCAGGGGAGGGTTAGGTTGGATATTAGGAAGAGATTTTTTTATGGAGAGAGTGCTCAGGCATTGGAATGTGCTGCCCAGGGAGGTGGTGGATTCACCATCCCTGGAGGTTTTCAAGCTGAGACTGGATGTGGCACTTAGTGCCATGGTCTGGTAACCACAGTAGGGTTGGACTTGATGCTCCTGGAGGTCTCTTCCAACCAGGCTGATTCTATGATTCTATGATATACCAAGTGTGTTCTGTGCAATCCTTTGACTGGTTCTGTCTGCTGCAGGCTCAGAATCATAGAATCATAGGATGTTAAAGGGTTGGGATAGAGCTTACAGATCATCCAGCCCCAACCCCTGCCCTGGGCAGGGACACCTCCCACCAGAGCAGGTTGCTCAAGATTTTATCCAACCTGGAATGAACACTGCCAGGGTTGGGGCAGCCACAGCCTCCCTGGGCAACCTGTGCCAGTGTCTCACCACCCTCACAGGGAAAACCTCCTCCTGATATCTAAATTTCCCCTCTTTCAATTTCTCCCCATCACCCCATGTCATCACTGCAGCTCCTAACCAAGTCCCTCTGCAGCTTCCCTGGAGCCCTGTCAGATCCTGGCAGGTTGAATCCTCGAGCGAGATCAGTTCCTCAATCCCATCCACTATGTGACTGCACAAACCAATGGAATGGAGGGAATGAGTAGGTGTTGGTGGCTTGAAATTCCCAACAGAGAGAAGAACTATCCACCTAACTGCACCTTCCTGGTGAGTACACCTCATTGTCATGGAACTGGAGAGAACACGGATTGCCTTAACAACCCAAGCTTAAATGTTAAGAATAAAATTAAGGATAAGTATTTAGTGGTATTTCATTCCTTTCAGCTTTCAAACAAGGTCTGTTTATAGCAAAGAAAGTGCAGATTTAAAACTTACTGACCTTTGAGGGCAAAGCAGGAGGTTTTGTGAATGGATCTGAGGTAAATGGGTCACTCTTCACCGGTTTCTTGAAGAAATCCTCAGGGGCAGAAGTACGAAATGGGTCACTTTCCTTAAATGGATCACCTCCAAAGGGATCTGGAAGGAGCAGGAGAAGGTAAATAGAATGTAGCACCAGTGTAACTGTAAGGAATTCTGTAACTGACCACAGCCTGATGTCCTTTTTCTGAATGGATCTGAGGTAAATGGGTCACTCTTCACCGGTTTCTTGAAGAAATCCTCAGGGGCAGAAGTACGAAATGGGTCACTTTCCTTAAATGGATCACCTCCAAAGGGATCTGGAAGGAGCAGGAGAAGGTAAATAGAATGTAGCACCAGTGTAACTGTAAGGAATTCTGTAACTGACCACAGCCTGATGTCCTTTTTCTTACAGAAAAATTCTGTAACTGACCACAGCCTGATGTTATTTTTTTTACAGAAACCCACAGTGCTTTGGTAAACCTGCTGAATTCCCAGAGACCTCTCTAAACTGAATGTTTACTGAGTCTGAACAAGGACATGTTTATGTTATGGACTTAATGAAGAGTTACACACTTCTCATTGACATGTGGATCCTGAATGCCACACCCTGGCAGGATTCTCTCTCCCCACATGCAAACCAGAAGCCTGAAGCAAGGGAAACCCTGGAAATCTTTGTGTTTGGCTACAAATTGATCATATCACATCTGTCCTGCCATCAAAGGAGTCATTACCTGCTGGAGCAGGTGCTTGTTCTGCAAAAGGATCATGCTGGAAGGGGTCACCTATGCAGAATAGAGAAATAAGTTGGTTTAGCCACAATTTAGCAAGATGAGTAAAGTCTGTGAAAATATCATTTACTTAGCAATTGGTCTTCAAGGTCTCAGGTAAACACTGGTCACTTACTGCCTTTGAAGGGATCTGCTCCTTTAAATGGATCAGATTTGAAAGGATCTTCTGACTGGAATGGGTCTGTGTGCAACTCGTGGGTGTTATTGGCAAACATCAAGGCTTTGTTCTTAAATGGATCTTCCTGAAAATTAAGAGGAGAAACATTACAGCAATTTGTCATGATGAAAACGCTGTCACTCACTTAGCAGAAATTCTGTGTTATCTCTTGGTTCCTGTTGAACAATTGTAACTACTTCCTGAAGAACTTTTCTGAATAAGAGGCTTCTAAGTAGAGGCAATTACACAGCAGAAGGAAATATGCAGCCCAAGGCTACACAGAACATCAAGAGATAACAGTACATCTAGCAATTGTGTATGTTGTCTACATTAATGTATTGCCCATATGAAACTGTCTGACATATTAAACAAACTCAACCCTCAAACACTCAAATAACAAAACCAATCCAACTCCCCCAACCATCATGCTATCTAAAAAGTTCTTTCCCCCCCCAGTTATTTTACAGCTCAGCTTCAAGTAACACAGTTACTTAAAAGGAAAGGATACAGAAACCATTTGCAGACTACAAATACAAGAAGTTACTACTGAGAAGTTCTACTCTAGACTGTTTCTTGCTAACTCATTCTTGAGCTTCAAGCTCCAAGCACTGATTTCCCATGACAAAGCACTTCATGCAGGAAGAGTGTCACCCCAGCACTGTGATCACAGAAAGGTTTCTCAGCAGAAACTTTGCCAAGTTGCAAAAATTACCCTGCATGAGCAAACAGCAGACTGAAGTTATGAACCTCATGACACCCATTTGCAGGACAGCCCTGGCTTTGGGGGTCTCTGTCAAACCAGTCCTTGCCATGGGAGTCCTAAGTGCAGGCAGCACCTGCACAGCTCCAGTGCCAACCAGAGCTGTTCCACCCCAATGTAAGGGACATCCAGTAACAACTACCACTTACACTGCCTCCAACACCAGAAACACAGAGGATTTCACAGGCTCATCAAGGTTGGAAGAGACCTCTCAGATTATCCAGTCCAACCATTAACTTGACACTGCTGCAACCCCTAAATCATGTCCTCCAGTGTCAGATGCAATAATCTCTTAAACACTTCCAGGGATGGTGACTCCACCACCTCCCTGGGCAATATCCCAGTGCCTGAACACCTCAACAGGGAAATCATTTCTCCTCACATCCAATCTGACTCTGCCCTGGCTCAGCTCAAGCCCATTCCCTCTATCCTCTCCCTGCAGACCTGGCAGGAGAGACATCTCCCACCTCTCTCCAACCCATCAGGAGTTGGGGAGAGCCATGATATCACCCCTGAGTCTCTTCTCCAGGCTAACCAACCCCACCTCCCTCAGCCCTTGCCCATGTTTTCCAGCCCTTTGCTGCCCTCGTTGCCCTTGGCTGGACTCGCTCCAGAGCCTCAATGGCCTTTGGGCAGTGAGTGCCCAAAGCTGAGCACAGCACTGAGCTGGGACCTCCCCAGTGCCCAGTGCAGGGGGATGAGCACTGCCCTGGTCCTGCTGCCACACTGGGCTTGAGCCAGGCCAAGATGCCCTTGGCCTTCTTGGCCACCTGTGCACACTGTTGGCTCCCACTGAGCTGTGCCACCAGCACTGCCAAGTCCCTTTGGGACCAACACCTCTGTCCCCACTGCTCCCCCAGCCTGGAGCTGCATGGGATTGTTGTGTCCCAAAGGCACAACCAGCACTGAGCCTTAGTGACCCTCATGCAGTGTCCTCAGCTCATGGATCAGTCTGTCCAGGTCTCTCTGTAGACCTTTCCTACCCTCAGGCAGATGAACACTCCCACCCAACTTAGTGTTGTCTGAATTTCTTTCATCCCTTCACAAGATGAGGATGAAAACATCTTAATTCATACTTCTCAGAACAGGGGGAAGGACGTGTGGAGAGAAGGAAGAGGAAGGAAGAATTGAGAAACAGGAAAGGGGCACAAAGGTTTAAAACATTTACTATGAACATACACACTTGTGTTTTCTTCCAGTAAGTGATTCTTAGGTTTTGCAAGTAAGAGAAACATCTGGAAATGTCACTGCAAATTGAATATAATGTTGATGCAAGCACAGACAGGAAGCACTAAAGTGTTTGAACACCATGTTTCTCTGTGTGTTGTTGGTTTTAATCTACTCTTTTCTTCCTTTGAGCAGTTTGGTTGTACAGAGCTAGTGTGAAGAAGAGCATAAAGGCAGCAACAGTGCTACATATTCACTACTGCACTGCACAAGAGATACTGAACTTCATACCAAACACCAGAGAAGGTTTCACCTTGGTAAACTGGACAAGAAAAAACACCTGAACTGGAAATAAAGTGTCACCTCTTTCTGAAGACTAACCATGTCCCAGGGTTAACAGCACCTCTTGGGTTTCAAAAAGAAGAGCATAAAGGCAGCAACAGTGCTACATATTCACTACTGCACTGCACAAGAGATACTGAACTTCATACCAAACACCAGAGAAGGTTTCACCTTGGTAAACTGGACAAGAAAAAACACCTGAACTGGAAATAAAGTGTCACCTCTTTCTGAAGACTAACCATGTCCCAGGGTTAACAGCACCTCTTGGGTTTCAAAAGTTTGAAATAAAGTGTCACCTCTTTCTGAAGACTAACCATGTCCCAGGGTTAATAGCACCTCTTGGGTTTGAAAGTTACAGTTTGCTTATATATCCATAGTTACAGAGGCACAAAATCCTGGCACAACATCCAACAAAAGGCTTACAAATCAGTTTTTCCATCAGCACTGATGTTTTGCTTTGCCTTGCTTGGGGATTTCTGCCTTGCTGGGATCCTGTGTTTGCTAATGGACCAAAATCCAAGTGAACTGTCTCAGATTAGGTGCAAATTATTGTAAAATAAACTAAACAACAGTAAGGGTTTTTTTTACCACAGCTCCATAATTGCTTCTTTCTGTCTGCCCAAGGCCTTCACTCATGTCTGCTAAGTTGGTCAGGCTCCCCCCATGGATCCCATTGAGAGCTTCATGGTATTCCTCTATGCTCCTGTTGACTTCCTGGTGACTCTCTTGCAGCTGGGAGAGTTTACTTCTTGCCTGAGCAGTGAAAAAGGTTTCAGCATGTTACACATTCACCAGCACTCTGATTCTCACATTCCCATTAAACACTGGTGCCAAATAGTTGCATTTTCCTCCCCCACAACTGAACTCTTCCAGACCAGAATTAACCTACCAAGCACCAATCAAAAAGGCTCATTTCATGAACCATGAAACGAAGTTTTTTTTCTCTCTCCTGAAAAAGAATCTTCCTAGGGGATGTTCAACTTTTTGCCTTTCAAGAAGCAAAAGAAAAGAAAAAAAAAAGAAGAAATTCCAGTGAATACCTGGTTTATTTCTTCCTGTGTTGATTTTAAAGACTTGATTATTGTTTCAAGCTGTACTTTTCCAGCCTGGATACTCTGCTCTAGCTGAGTCTCTTCTTGCTGGAGGCGATTCAGCTCTGCTTTTGCCCTGTTAAGATCATCTTCCTGTAATTTTAAATCTGATTCCTGAGATTGAATCTGCATTTTTAGTGATGAAATCTGCAAGAAAATGTTGCAAAATCAGAGTGACACTGGAAAGAAATCTGACTTAATTATGAATTTAGAATGAGTAATTGAAAGCTGGAAAGCAACTGTTAAGGAAAACAGAACTGAATATGAAGAGTTGCTGCTGATGGTATGCAAAATCCTTGACAGAAGCACACAGGACAGACAGTAAAACCAAGAAATCCTATTTTAAGTCACAGAAATACCACACTAATTAGAAAGGTAATTAAAAGGTGTTTCTCAGATGGTTGCCCAGCAGTTTTCAGAACTTGGCTCCTTTCCCATTCCAGACATTTATCAAGTGTGAAGTTCATTTTAAACACTGAGTTGAAATGACACAGTTGCTTAGGACTCTCATAGAATCATAGAATTTAGGGGTTGGAATGGAGCTCAGAGATGATCCAGCCCCAACCCCCTGCCCTGGGCAGGGACACCTCCCACCAGAGCAGGTTGCTCAAGGCTTCATCCAACCTGGCTTTGAACACTGTTAGGTTGAATAAATGTTTCATTTCTTCTCAAAACAACAATTTCTGTAGAAAGTGACCCTTGGAGATTATCTGGTTCAACCCCGATTTGTGACCACTATGAATTTAGGTGAGCAAAATCCTTTCTTGGACCTCTATGTGTGTGGAAATTGCTATTTATGGTACAAATGAATAAAGAAAGTGAATGTACTCATGAAATAAACTGCATTTCCTTCAAGAGAAGACATAAGACTCTTGAGTGTGTCCAGAATTAACGTACACTCACCACCTGTGTCTCTTCCTGGCACTTCTGCCTGACATCATTCAGCATATCCTTCAGTTTGGCTTTCTGCTGGTCCATCTCGTCCAGACGGTCCTGGGCATCTTGTTTCTGAGCCTCTAACTCTTGCAAGGTACTTGTCTCCCTATCCAAGTCATTTTGCAGTTCCTGAGGAAAATTTCACAGTTTGTAACTTATATTTAGCTGTTGTCTTAAGGAATCATGGAATCATAGAATTTTAGGGATTGGAATGGAGCTTAGAGATGATCCAGTGCCAACCCCTGCCCTGGGCAGGGACACCTCCCACC